ATGTGATTCTTGGTATTTTGTATTAATTCATAATCAGCCTTGATGATGGATCTGACATCTAGTCAGCATCTATCATCGACACACGTCATGTTTCGGGTCCCCTAGGGTGATTCGGGATGGGTCCTGTCACCTTCTGACCTATGCTTACGATGGCAGCACACTTGCAAAAATTATTTGTTCTTTCTTCATTACAAGTGCTAAAAATAATTCTAGAAAAAGCACATTTTTATTGTGTATATATTCTCAAAATTATACCTTGTCTGATCTTTTGGCATTTGAATGTGTTTTCAGCTCATCAGTGAGATATGGTCACGCAATTGCTTACCTGTTATAGTAGGTGGAACAAATTATTATACCCTGGTTAGCTGCTATCTTTGAGATTGTATTGTGACTATACTTTTTTTCTCCTGTAATCTTTCAGTCTTTGCTGTTGTGATGTGAGATGGCTGTAGTTAAACTTTTGTTGAACTTTTTCCCTGTAATCTTTCAGTCTTTGTATCATTCCACTCGAAGAGTATGTTTGGCAAAGCTTTTTTAAGATTATAAATTGGCCAAGTATCTTTTTATCCACATATTTCGTAGAACCTACAACTTTTAGTCACACATTTCGTAAAATCCACAATTTAAAATCTACAATTAGCTTTACCAAACATATGTTAAAATTCTTTTTACCCTACGTTTTCATGCAATGCAATAGAATAAAAACTGATACTACCAAAAATCATACCATCGACTTTCGAGCTTGACAACTGAGAATAAGCACGAATAAGGTCTTCCGATACCTGAAACAAAGGCGTCGAGATGTGTTCTTGTCGGCCTCCGATGCTTAAGTCAGAGTGAGAATTTATGAAAAGATATGTGCTAAAGAATTATGTAAAAACGTACATTGATAATGATTTGGAATAATATATTTATAGAGGTAGGTAGTGCATTCCTAGTAGAATTATAATGTTGAAACCCCTAGGAGTTCTAACGTGATTGGAAGTTGCCACTCACTTGATTTTGTATTACCCACGTGTTTGGTAACACATTTTCAGAAGGACTTTGCTTCCTAGAGCATCTTGAAACGAAGTAGACTTCTAACGGGCTAGGGATTGCACGGTTCGGGGCTTCGGTTGTAAACTCGAGAAAGAGCTGTTGGGTCATTAATGCCGAGCTCGAGGAGACTTAACCCGAGGAGATCATGAGAATGGGGCTCAAATGGGACCATTCTTCCTCGGGTTGGGTGCTCGGTCAGGTTATTTAAAATTGGTATCATCAAAAACCTTCCCCAATATTGCACTAAAGCAAAAGAAAATTTTAAAACACAAGAATTTGACGATCTGATTCTAGAGGAAAATACATGTTCATGGAGTTCTCTTAATATCTTATTTCCAGAGGTACTGTTGAAAAAAATGTTGTGTGTATAATCCTAGAATAGCCAAGAGGAAATATAATACTCAATTGGAAAAGGTTAGAGCTATGATGGAATGAATATATTCATGGTATCAGATCAAGCTCCAGTTGGATTCCCTCTGTTTTAATTTATCTGGTATAAATCACCAGAGATGATTTTTGTTCCAATTATACACATCTGAAATTCTTCATTGGGCCTTTCAGTGTTGGTATTTGTGGCCTGCCTTAACGTTTCTCTTGAAAAGAACTGATGTTTGGAGTGAATGATGAAGCAACAACAGAAGGCTTGCAGTCAAAGAAGTCACCGTCACTCTTATAGAGCACCACTGATAACCCTTCTGTATTACTCACCACTCAAAAACTTAGCAGGTAGAATTTCCTTCGTTATTCACAGTGAATTTCCATCATTAATCACCATCGCTTTTATAGAGAACCGCTGAATAACCTTCTATATTACTTACCACCCAAAACTTAGCAGATTGAATTTCCTCCTAAAAAACAAAGTCTCTATTGTGGAATCATTAAATGGCTGCTATGGCTTATAAAATGTCTTCAAAGGGGTAGGTATTTGTCTTAAATCTCCATATTTGCTTTGCCAGTTGCCTGCAACTGTGACATGTTAGCATCAATAACTTAATGTAGGCCTACTTTTTGAGCAGGGATGTGAAGTTTTAATTTGCATATAGTTTTTAGTTTGCAAGTCAAAGTATTATTGTTTGGGTTCCAAAAAAAAAAAAAGCATGACCCATCTATTTATCTTCCCAGCAACCAATTTATATGAAGCCTAAGACCACCTATGATTCTGCTTCCTCACTGTTTCATTCTGTCCTGTTGCCGCATCACTTTCACTATCAGCAGCATTTTTCTTAAATTCTTACCACAAATATGTATTGTGCCTTCACACACATAAACCTTGTTTCCCTTATGTATGGTTTATCGTGACTGTTGTAATGTGTTTAACTGTCATTCCTTTTCTTTAACTATCAACACTTGCTAACTTTTCTTTGGTAATGCTGGACCATGAAAGTCTCTTCTGGACCGAACTGTATTATGCTGTTTTGTCTTCAATCACTTGAAAATTCTTGAGTGTTTCCCAATATCATCTTAGAGTCATTATATTCTGCACATGAATGTGGACATCTAATACCTGGCAAGCAAGACCAACTGTTATATGTTTTTGCTTCTAGCAGGAGACAAGAAACCAGATTTTGAACTTGAGCCTGAGCCTGAGTCCGAGCCCATAGATGAAAATGGCGATTACGTTTATAGAGTTCTTAAAGACCTTGATCTGGTAGTAGCAAATAGAATCGATCCAAATGATCATAGGAAGGTGAGAATGTTTTCAAGAAGCTGATTTTTCCTCCCATTTCCCTATATATATCATGTTTTATAATTCCAGTCTATGACTCTTTGAACTTTTGCTTATTGCACCTGAGATTAATTGCAATTGTTGCACAAGGAAAATTAACATTATGCAGGTATTATAAAGTGCGGCTGTCTTACAATTTTTTCATATGGGCATATGTATGGTTATTGTGATGCACACTTTCCAATCTTAATTTATCTGCCTCTTTTCTCCTTTGTATGTGCATATACATATAGGGAATAGTGGTCATGTTTTTTTCCTCTTCTTAGTTACATAAAGGGATTACCGATGGAGTGTTCGTGGTTGGGTTAACATTGGGATTCTGAAAAATTTTATTGGATAACAAATACAATTGATACTTCGTACAGTTCTCACCACTGGAGAGTAGAAAATATATAAGCATAGATCTGCTAAATAAAATTGCCGACTTATCTTTTTAACCTCCAGTTATTGAGATTGTTTGGTAAGTCACTGTTTATTTGCAACTATGGCAGATTAATCAATACCTAAGTTTATATAGCCATACTGGTGTTCGTCCGAGCGAGCTATTCCAGGGGAATATCATGGAGGTTTTTTCTACATCTGTCTTATCTACATAATCACAATTGCTTGTCCTTGAATGTTAGTGCACTTGTTATCTAGTAACACGGCTAAATCCAGGACACATTTCCACCTGCTACACTCACACACAACTGCAGGTTGTTCTATATACAGACAGCAACCTGCTACCATTGTATATATATTCAAGGATATTATCTGTACATGCTTTCAAGCTCTCATTGTTTCATTTTTAGTTCTATCTTTCCCTTGCATCCTCCATCCTTATATTTTCAACATTTTAGTTTTCTTAGTTGTCATTCTTTATGCTTCATGTCAAAAAGAAGCCAACTTATTGCACAATATGTGCAACTTCTAAATTACTGATCTTTTAAAAAGTTTAATTGTTATTTGTCTACTTGAAAAAGGACATGAAACGATATACAAAGATTTATTTTATTTAATATTAATAAATAACTTGAATCAACTTGCTGCATTTTGCTGTCGTCCTAGTTACTTATTTCTTTTTTACAAATTACAGCAGCCTGCTTATATTGCTGTTGTTATACAACTTCAGATTTTAGTGGGCTAAATTCTAAAATATCGTGTGGACCATAGCATCCTGTTTAATTATCTTATTTCAAAATGTGCCAGAGCAGAACTGGGGCCAAGCTAATAATTTCAGATATAATTGCTGTTTTATATGTCTGTACGCATCAGTTCAAGCATTGAATCAATATGTAGATCGAAGAGCTGACTGCATGATAAATGCTGGTCTACTTGAGGAAGTTGTTGATATTTTCAAGTTAAATGCAGATTATACACGAGGTTTACGACAGGCAATTGGTGTCCAAGAGTTTGAAGATTTTCTAAGATGTTTCACTTCTGAAAGTCAAAATCCTAGTTATGATGTCTGATGCTAAGCCATTCAAGGAATTCATGCGTCAAATCATGGACTCCCCCAATGAGAACCAACAAAAGATTCTATCAAAAGAAGCTATCGATAAAGTCAAATTAAACACCAGAAGACTCATTCGTCGTCAAGTAAGAAGACTATCGTTATGCTGTGTATTTTTGTTTCTTGGATTTTTGAGGTGTATTTTCTTTTACCTATAACTTGAAATGTCAAACAAGGACAACTGAATGGTCAGGCAGGCAATAGACACTCCTTCCTTCCCATAAAGAATGTGATATTATTCTATAATCTTCTGGTTGCTTTTATGGGAAAAAAAATGGTTAATAGAAGAATGGAAGTGATAGGATATTGATAGTATATAATTTTGGATATAAAGAAAGATATAGAAAGCACTTTAACCAAATACTATTTGACTATCAAAAGTCAAATAAGACATCATTGTGGATGGGAAGAGCTGTATCTCATGACATTGGTTCTATGGTTTCAACTTGGATATTCAATAACGAGACCAAGTTTTTACATGCTACCCTGGTTACATGTTCTCGGAGATATTGTCAGTGGCATCACAATATTCACTTGTACAAACTTTTTACTATTTTAAATTTCACATCTTAGTGCTCGTGCTAGTTTCCCCAAGCTGCGGTAACATTTTCTACATCCCATGCATCATCATGTGTCGAGTTTTTGTAATGGGTTACTGTTGGATATCAGGCTTGTCAATGTTCATACACGTTTGGTTTGGTAATTATTTGGTTTTAGTCCATAGTGTTAAATCAATTAAAATTTTATTCACACACTTTTGTAACTCCATCTAGGCTTATCCTGCAATACTTCTTTTGATCTTTCCTTAAGAGGTTTGCAAAAAGGCTATCAAAGTCTTTGCTATCTATTATCTGTTTAACATGTTCCAAAATAAACTAATACAGAGTATGGCAACCGACCGTGTTGCATTTTTGTCAACATTTAACTACAAAAGCTTCATCAGTGTGCTTCTTTTAATGGAGCATAGTAGTAAGTTCTCATACACAATTTTATAGAGAAACCAGGATTATCCTCATGGTATTCAGTTTATTTTGGTAAGAGCAGTAAGAGATATGTTCTAAGTTCTAACGTGTCATATCCAATGTTTTATTTCTAATGATTTTGTTTTTACAGAGGAAAAGGCTTAGCAGATTGCAAATGCTGTTTGGATGGAATATTCATTATGTTGACGTCACTGGGTGCTTATTAGTAGGTTTTCCATATGTTTTTTTATAGATAATTTTTTTAGGTTTTATGAAGTAATTTATCTTGTAGGGATTAATTTAAATCGTGGTGATATGCTTTGTTTAGGTGCTTCGGACTATTTATGGGTTATGGATGTGGTTGAACCGTCACTATAAATTATCGAATCTTTCCTTGGTAAGAACAACATGGAAGAGGCCAGAGTGATTGTGAAGTGCTGAAATTGGCACAAAGGGACCTTTTGATTCAATATACTTGTCAGGTTAGTGATGCTGCTAGTACTCTCTCTCTCTCTCTCTCTCTCTCTCTCTCTCTCTCTCTCTCTCTCTGTGTCAGTCCCTCTTGCATTTCCTTGCTTGTAATGGCGAAGTCATGAACTATAAAAAGCTACATCCATGCGTCTTAATAGAGTGATTGTGAAGTGCTGAAATTGGCACAAAGGGACCTTTTGATTCAATATACTTGTCAGGTTAGTGATGCTGCTAGTACTCTCTCTCTCTCTCTCTCTCTCTCTCTCTCTCTCTCTCTCTCTCTCTGTGTCAGTCCCTCTTGCATTTCCTTGCTTGTAATGGCGAAGTCATGAACTATAAAAAGCTACATTCATGCGTCTTAATACTGCTTCCCGTGTCTTTGTTCAATATTAAGCATGTGGGAATAAGGTGCTCAGAGGGGCCCCATGAATGGGAACAACATAAACAGGAGTGTATCCATCGAAAATGAGTATCTCGGCTTAAAAAGTCTGGCTTATATGTAGAATTACCCCATGACAGTGCTATGCAATAATCATAAAGTCACAATCTTTAAAAACTCTTGATCCTGTATATGTGTATTTAAACCAGAATTTGTGAGCGATGGTAATTCTGAAGGCCTTATGCTAGTGTTGATCTTATACTCTTATCTCTTTCAACAATTAGTTGGGTATGTTTTTATAACTTTTAACTAGAAAATAAAGTGAATGTCGTTATAATATTATGAGATTTTAGAGATTAATCATGTCCAATGTGGATACGATAACACTCAAAACGTTTGGCAGAATCTGATTCTAATAATGCATGGAAATTTCTTTAGTGGACAGGATAAGGCTTGAATGTTCAGCAGAATCTGATTCTAATAATGCATGGAAATTTCTTTACCAAATCTAGTTTTCTAGAGGTCAGGCAATGTTTTTATGTATTCTCGAAGAATCCACTAAATATGAACAAACAACTGGAAAAACTTAGGATTATTGATTGGCACAAGAAAAAAGTAAGAATCTTTGCATGCTTTACAGCTTTTTATCTCCATAAAAACACCCTATTCCCCCTGAAGTTTCTTTACTGTTAAATGATCAACAGAGAAAGAAAAGAATCAAAATGCACAGCTTGAAGAAAATCTATATCCTTCAATTTCTTCTCCTCTTACTGAGCATTTCCTTTTCAAAATCAATATCCCAAGAGACCCCAGAGAGGTATGGTGATAGTATAAGAAGTTTACTAACCCCATGCTCAGTTCTAAATTCCACAACTTGTTTTGATAATATTCCGGATCATGTGCCAAATCCTTGCAACGAGTGTAATAAGCCTGATGGACATTGTGGAGCTGGGTTAAGATGCATTTGCCACCCAAAAGAGTGCAGTAAGTTTTTCCAATAGTTACTTTCTTAATATTGTGTTCCCAACTGTCCTTTTTTTTTTTTCTTGTATTGGTGGTTGTAACCTTTTCATTTGATGCATTTTCAGAGGATACGGTGATTTCAGTTGATGCAGTTCTGAAGCCTTGCTGGAACATAGTTTTCTTTCTACTATTTTTCCTCATCCTGAAGAACTATTTCCAGGCCTTCTGACGTAGTTTAGTTTCTGCTTTCTCTGACACTTCAAATATTGTTGTGATATAATGAAAATGATGCTGTAGTTGGCTTGGAGAACCCACTGGATTCATTGCCTAGCTGCTTAGAGATGTGATATATTTATTTATTTAAATTATGTATTCAAAGCATCTTTTCATCTGACATTTTCCCTCAAGTCCTGTCATGTACATATTTTTTTATAAATAGGTGGCATCGAAACTTTAATCTAAAACCTCTACTTGATTTGATACCATGTCGAACCACTTCAAATAAAAGCAAAAAATGTCGAATAAGAGACAAATTTATTTATTTTTATTATGTCTTGGACGTATTTTGATTTAGATTTCATATTTTATTAACATAATGCTAAAGATAAAATATGCATTAATAAATTTCTCTGGTTGAATTTATTTAAGGTAGCAACGAACCTTGATTCATTTATGAAATTTTGGGCTACTCCAAATTGATTAACCGAAAGTGAATAGAATTTAGGGTGCGTTTGATTGTAATGATGGAAAATGGGTGGAAAGAAAATGATTTTCAGGGAAAATAATTGTCTCGACAATGTTTTGCAGGAAATTGTTAATTAAGTGTGTTTGATTGGTATAATTTTCTATCTGGAAAATTTTTAAATTTTCTATTCGTTTGACTTTGTTTTACATGAAAAATGTCTATTAAAGTGATAATTTTTTCCACAATTGGTTATAAAATTTGTTTCCATTACCAAAAAATAAAAATAAAAAATGGAAAAAAAATTTATTTTCTAAAAAATTTTTTTTTTATCAAAGTTTAGTGTTCGTTTGACTTTGTTTTACATGAAAATTGTTCATTAAAGTAAAATTTTTTTTTTACCATTGAGTATGACATTTATTTTCATTGCAGAAAAAAATTGCAACCAGCCTGAGAAAGGTGAAATAAATTTTCATCAATTACCCCGAAAATACACGTGTGGAGGTAAGGTGGAAAATATTCGTGGAAAATTTCACCTATCAAATAGTCAAAAAAGTGGAAAGTGGAAAATATTTTCTTAGTTCCCTGAAAAATTCGGCCAATCAAACACGGCCTTATAGAAATTTACACGTTGCACTTACTTTGTGGATCCAATTTTGAAACTTTTTTACTCTCAAATAAATATTGAATGTACAAGGATAATTTTTTTAAAAAGAGAACAATACCAGAAGTAGGAATGTCAATTTGGCTCGCTAGCTCGGACTGCCCGTGGCTTGGTCCAGGAAAAGCTCGAGCCGGCCAGACCCAAGGCTCAGTAGATCAAGCCATGGGCGGACCTGCAGTGGGGCCTAGTGGGGCACGTGCCCCACTAGGTTTTGAAGTTTTTTTAATTAAATATAAAATGAAAAAATTCTGAAAGCAGCCCTCGCCTCTCCTTTCTCATCTCCCAAGTCTATCCTGTGGCTAGTAAAGGTTAGATATTGAAAGTTTCGAAAGTCTGCGTCCGCCCTTGGATCAAGCCCCAGTTTGGGGAATCGGGCCGAGCCGGCCAGTAGGGCCTGTGTGGCCCGTGAAAAAATTAATTTTTTTTTTAAATGGAAGGAGGGAAGTAACAGATACTATTTAAAGGCAGCACATGTTATATATGAAAAAAAAAAAAAAAAATATCGACCTGGCTGTTGAAAATTGAGCAAAAGCTCAACCGGCCCGTTCGGGTCGAACCTTAATTTTTTTTTTCCCGAACTTTTGTTCAGTTTGGGTCAAAAAAGCTGAAATCTATTTTATTCGAATCGAGCTAGAGATTCAAATTTTGTCTCGTTGTCACCCCTAACTAGAAAGGGGTCTAAATGGATATAACTTTATAGAATGAGAATTTGGGAAATTTGAAGCCGACGTCTAAAACCAAAAAGTACACTAGGTCTTAGACCTTTAAATAGTAATAAATAAGTTTCAAATTTTCAAAAAAAATGTGTGGTAGAAGGATTTTGGTCGATTTTTGTGACTTTGTCCAAAAATTCATTGGTTGATCAAAAGTCAAATGTCTAAGCTTAATTTAATCAATTTTAAAAAAGATAAAATCATAATTTTGTATTTTCTTACTTAAAATAATTAAAGTGATTAAATAGAAAAATAAAAGATATTTCTTCATCTTCTCCCAAGTTGATTACTTGAATGGTTACTAAACTTTGCTAAGTACTACTATTTAATAACTAAACTTAAAAATGTATCTAAATGGTTATTGAGTTTTGTAAGTGTTGCCACTTCATAACTGAACTTAAAAATGTATCATAATGATCGTTGAATTATGCACCGTATTACACATCCATCATTCAAATGGGAAAATTCATTAGGATAGACAAATGGCGTTGACACGAGTGATAAATGAGTAATATGGTGTATAATTCAGTGACCATTGAAATACATTTTTAATATCAATTATTAAGTAGCAATAATTTTTTTTCCCCTCAAATAGACCAAAAGAAGAAACTAAAGAAAATGAAGATAAAAAAAAAATGAAAAATCAAATTGACCTCAGTTACCTTAGCACTAATTCAAACATTTTTGTACTTGTATATAATTTTCTTTGTCAAATTCTTTCACTATTCCTACTCTCTCTCTTTCAATCTTTTTATGCGAAGTTCAAGATACGATAAACTGATACCAGTTGATCCAAAAATCAAACGTATTTTTGGACAGTTATCAATGAAGGGGATATGCTAGTCGGGGATTTAAGGATTCCACAATCATACAAAGCTAATTTAGCATCGTATATCTTCCATTTGGACAGTAAAACTTTCAGTTGAATACTAATGTCATCCATTTTATTTCAGAATGGACATTAGAAAAAAATTTATTTTTATTCGATTTATAGGTCTGTAATTTCCTATTTCCTTTTTTTTCCCTTCATTTTATTTGATTTCTTCTTTCATAGATGTCAATTTTGGGGACTTAATAAATGAATTTAAAAATGTGTTTCAATTGTCACATAATTGTGCTAAGTATTACTACTTAATAACTCAAATTAAAATGTATTTCAATGATCATTGAACTTCACCAAGTGTTACTACTTAATAACTGAACTTAAAAATGTATATTAATGGTCACCGAACTAAAAATCGTATTACCCATCTCTCATTCGAGTCGTTGTTATTTGTTAATCCTAACGGATTTTTTCACTTGAATGATGAACAAGTAATACAGTGCATAGTATTGCGGTGCATAGTTCAATAACCATTGTGATGCATTTTTAAGTTTAGTTATGAAGTAGTAACACTTGGCAAAGTTTAGTAACCATTAAGACATTTTTAAGTTCAATTATTAAATAGTAACATTTGACAAAGTTAAGTAGCCATTCAAGTAATTAACCCTCTTCTCCCCCACCCCACTCCACTCCAATTGAAACATTACCCACCCACCATGGCCATCAAAAACGACAAAATTCGAATTTTCCTTGACTCTTGCTCTCAACTCCGATGCCCCCAGTTCGAAGGATAAAGTTAATCAAGATGGAGTCCTATCTTGTTTTAATTGGTTGTGATTTGTAACCTTAACTTCTTGTAATTCTCTTCATATAATTATAACTAATCATTAATGTAACACAAGAAAATATTCTCCCAATTCATACTCTTATCAAAGCCAACCTTTGGCCTCTTGAAGTTATCTTTGGGACTTTTGGGCCTCCAAATTGTCAATTAATAGCAATGAATCCTCCCTCTTCAATAATGTATATCATTATTATATGTAGAATTACAAAAAAAATAAAAATTAATTAATTATCAGCACATCACTATCTGGTAGTATAAATGTATAATTACGTTATGTTGAATGAAGCTGGCTACTGGCTAGTGTGGCTCTCTATTGATTACTTCTAGAGATCTAATTTGCTTTGCCTTTGCAAGGTTGGAATAAGTCAAGCAGCAGTTTATGCATTCATAACTGTAAGCACTAAGCAGAATGTATGTGGGAATTCTTCAGCCAAAGTCATCGTCCTCGGCTGAAAGATGGCTGAATTCTGGTGTGATCTTGATGATATTGTGGGGATATCCACTTGTGTGTGGTCCAACTTCCCCTTATGTCAAGAAAATATTTATGCAGCGATTCAAAGTTGGTGGCCGAGTAAGTTCAAACACAGAGTATTTACAAATTCTCTTTTATGACACAGTAACGAGAGAGTGAGACCAAAAACTTCAAATGAGCAATCAATACAGTAAAACTCCATATATTAATAGGTAGTAAAATTTTTTGGTCCCGACATGTTCCGGTGTGCTAAATTAATAACCCCGTTATGCATAAGATAATAATTTTTTTTAGATCATTTAAGGCCAAATGAATATATAAAATAATAACTGTTTAAATTCATAAAAGTTCATATAATAATACAAATTTTAAATTTGACAACATTGTTTTCAATTCGTAAATGCGTATATAAAGTCTTTTGCTTTTTCTCTATACTCAAACCGAACCAATCCTAATTTTAACAAACTACCAATTTTAATTTCATGCTAATACAAATTAACAAACGATTAAATTTTGTGTGCCTATGGATCAAATTTTGAATTTCATCATATTCAATTTTTTTTTTTTTTTAAATTTCCTACATGTATTAGGTAAAATATAATACAAGTTATAAAAATGTAAATACTCTATAAATTAATAAATATTTATTTATCGATAAATTAATAACCCCTCTAAAATAATAAATTTTCTCGGTCCCAACATTATTATTTTATAGAGGTTTTATTGTATGTATAAAGCTCAAACGAGTAATCGGCGTTCTTAATTGAGCCACCATATTGGGAGCATACATTAAGGGTAAAATCTTGCATCATTTATACGAAAATAACTGTAAACGTGAGTGTGTTAAGACTATTCCTTGTTGACTATTTTAATGAAATTTCAAGACTCAATAATATCCAAGATCTCCGTGCTTATTTTGTTAGTTCTTCTAAGAATACTTTATCCATCACGGAAACTTATGAAGTTTTGCGTATGTATTTAAGACGTGTTTTGAAAATTGACAGTCTTTTAAAACACTAGGAAATATTTGCACATATAAACTTACAATGTTCAACATGACCTTTTTGAGAACGTATTTTGTGAAAAGTGATTTTCCAGAGAATTGTGGTTAAAAAGTCAGTAAAATTTATGGATTCACGTTAAATTTTTTAACAAAAGTGCAATTTTCAATTCAAATTTTAAAAAAATTAAAAATGGGCGAGCGAATACTGCCTCACGAACCGGCTCGGCTCGCACAACTAATTGACGAGCTTTTAGGGATGAGCTAAGCCACACTTCGAACGAGCCGTCGTGCCTAGTGGGCCACCAAGTGGCTCGCCTCGGCCATTTAACATTCTACTCCCTTGAGGCCTTAACATTCGTCTACAGTTTATAGAGGAGCATTGGCTCTATGCTATAGTTAAAATTTAGTTAGTGACCATATGCTCACATGCGTAGTTGGGCCACGACAACACTTGGACTGCCCAAGAGCAGCCCCGTGCCGACCACGGAGATTAAATTCATAGTACACAGTACTCGACATGAATAAAGAACATAATGGATAAGATTTTAACTTCTTTACATGTATACCCTACTGAACCGGACATGGAAGTACAGTTAATAGTTTTCAGTCAAAAAGTGTTGTAGTCTAATGATAGTGCAGCTCATAAGATGCAAAGATCACGTGTAACAACTGTCGATGTTCTGAGACCACAGATTGGCTCCTCCTAGCCTTGCCAGACTTCCAGCGCAAAAGTTAAGGGGCCCATGAATGTGGTCCAAAGATAACGGGGGCTCTGATATGCTCTGTCAAGCCATTTGTTTTCCCTAAATTCTGGGTGCCAATTTTTGGATGAAGCCATGTAGTGTGTGCATCTGTGTGTGTTTTTTTGGTCTGCCTAAGTTCTGGTTTAAACTGTTCAAAGATCATAATATATATGGAAATCCATTTGTGCTATTATAAAGACTAACTGAATAATTAGACCCCTTTTCAGTAGATTCTCTACATTGTTTTGGCCTTTTCAGGGTTATGGTGACCTTTCTTGAAAAATGTAGAAAGCACGAATAGCAATCTTCAGTGAAATCTTTCAAAATTCTGCATGATTGTTTTGGGTGTCTTTTGTTATCTTTTTGCCTCATATGGCCCTGGAAATCCTGTAAAAACATTACCCTCTTTCACTTGTCTAAGATCACTCTAAAATTAAACAATATGAGGAGATATCAATAATCAATATATTAGAGAAATCAAAGGGATTGAATCACTCTTAAATATGGAAATGTAAAAGATGAAAAAAAGAATTAATGGGCTAGGACTTGCAGTTTCAAACCGGGAGGACAAAAAAACAGTTTACATTGTTCAAGTTATTGTCAGTTTACCTAGTTCAAATTATTAATATGAAAAATCGAAATATTGAAAAAGAAACAAGAAAAGAGAGGGAAAAAACCATTGAATTTGTCTTCTAAAGGTTTTTGCAGGCGCAGATCAATAATGAGAATTCAACTTGATCTTGATCTTTCTGCAACTGCTTCTCTTCCAACCACAATCTGCTATCCATGCCACTCCTGGTCCTGAACATAAACACGGCGTATCCCGAGGCTGGATTGTAGAACCAGTCATGAACATCCCACATAAGATCAACAAGTAAACCATCCAAGAAAATTGACTGATTCCCTCTGAAGTTCCATTGCAAGCGCTTTATGCGAATTACAATCTTCTTATCGATGCAAACTGATAGGACCGGATGCTTTAGGCCTTCTTTTTCTCCACTACAACGTATCAAGATGTCGTGAGCAGCACCAGTATTGCTGAACTGAGCCTTGGTTGAATAAAGGGTATTGCCCGAAAAATGTTCTTGGCGCGAAATTAATGAGAATTTCGCCATTTGATTGCCATTTTTGTGCTTTTTCATCCAAGCTTCTTGAGCCATATCTCCAAGAATAAGGCCAAGTTCTGAATCAACGGTGATGAAGACATAATATCCATCGACAGGTTCAGGGCCTGTAACATACCTGGCTGCAGAAAGATCCCAGAAAACTTCAATTTTACTATTCTGGAATTCAAGTGATTTGCTGCCTTTTAACTTTCTGAATAAGCGCGAATTCGTGTTAAGTTTGAAGGCGCTTGATTGATCATCACCAAAGGTTATATTCAGGCCTTGAGTCAAGCTGCTCTTGCACCATGTAACTGTGATCAAAATCTGCTTCTGATTGGAGAGAATGATTCTATACAAACATGTGACAGCATTTTGAACTGAAGGGATCAGATTAGGAGAAATACAAGAATTATTTAAATAACTTGAACATGATGTCTCAGAAACCTGCACTGCATATTCACTAAAACAAGATGCAAAATCTCTCATACTGTATTGAAGGAGAATGGAGAGATTGAATTGAAGCCTGAAGGAAATTTCTGAGGATGATAAATGAAAACCAAGATTACTGACAGGACCATATGTATGAATTAAATATGATTCTCTCACCTAAAAAATTGCATCTTAGGCAGAGGAAAGAATGGAACTTTGAGACAGAAAACTAGAAGGTTTATTTTTTTACGTCTTGCCAGTTCAACTGAGTCTAAGATATTGAAATTTTCAAGTGGCTATAATGATGAATAGAATAAATGCAGTAATGTGATGACAAGTGCACTTTATTTATTTATTTTTCTTAGTTTCTGTTTCCTAGGGATTAATGGTTGACCAGATTGCGAAGATATCAGGCATTCCCACGACGTTTCAATTTACTAAATTTAACTGTTTTAGGCAATAAAACTCTTACTTTATGGTAGGTTAGTACGATATTCTAAACCCCGCCAATTCGATCAGAAGAAGATGAAAAATTTAAGGTAAATACAGTTTGATATACGCAATGTTTTGAAAATTACCTTCGATTATACCTCAAAAATCAAAAAATGTAAAATTGTACTCGCAAAACAATCAAAGAAACGAATGATTCACCTTAAGATTTTTATATATTTATTATGTTTATATTTTTTTGCTCTCAGTTCAAACTTGGTTCGACCCTTTAAACACTAGTATACTATCGATCAGCGTGTTACTTGAGTTTCGTAGCAAATACGGAACATCAAATAAAAATTGTGATTTCTATTTATCGAGACGATTAATTGTGATAGTGAGTGATGGTCCCCAATGAATTAAAAACCAGTGGTTTTCAGCCACCAACTCATCTATATCTATACATGAACAAAAGCAAGGAAATAATAATGTGAAGTGGTAACTTTCTTGTGTGACCCTTTTCATTCCCCTTTTTAGTGAAAGTAATTAATTTCATACTAACAGAGACATATTGCAATATTTAATCTATCATTATTATTGGATTAATTTCCAATATTAAGGCCTGAAATTTTAAATTTTGGTCAATAATTATAAGTTACAGTTGGAAGCAAGTAACATTACATGTGACCCGTGAACTAATTAAATTTGTAGCTAATATCCTTTCATACTCCTTTCACCCTCCATGTGCCCAATGTTTAGTTCACACTTCTTAGGATGATAGTGAGTTACAAATAGGGCGATCACTCGAGGTATACTTCTAATTGAATAGTCAATTCATGAAACGATCAAGTCGCAAAGTAATCATCTATTGGTGTCTGCATCATCAGATGAGGAATGATTTGTAGATTATAACCGCTTGAACACGTTTTTCTTACAAATTGCATTTACATTCAAGAGTTCTTCTGCATTTCTGCGCCCTTTGAGACCCTGAAAATGGATAAATTCATTACAAGAAGGATAATGATTACTCTGGGGAGCCGATCTTCTCCAAGGGCTCACATCGGCAAGATGGTTTGGTGCCCGGATGTTGGCTCTTCGCCACCTGGGCTTCTAGTCTGTTCGAAGGGCCCGCTACTCTTAAAGGAGAGTTCTATTCAACGTAGTTGTTAAGGTTTGGTTTCTTGATTTGTAATTACTTAGGTACCATTTTCTTATAATTATATTGTAAGGCTGAACCTATCTAAAGTTGTAGTTACGTTCGTTGTGGTAGCATCTCACATCTCTAAAATAATTTCATACAAATATCTCAATCCGTTATAGTTTACTATGAGTACTGTGTTCCAATTTCTTATTCTAATTTTCTTCTTAAGGTGTGGACGGCTTTAGAGCGTTTGAATATGCTATAACATTGATATTCGTTGAAAATAATTTAAATAAATACACGTAATTTCTTTTTAACAGTTAAGATGGTTGATATGATACGAAATCAAGTAAAAGATCATGTCCGTCACTCATTTAGAAAATTGTACGCGTAATGCATAAAAATTGCGTTGAATACAAGATATTTAATTTTAGGCAAAATGATTAACGTGTTCATTGCGAATGAGTCAATAAAATGAACCTCAAAGTGGCAGAAAATAAGGCATAATTAGGACCGCTACTAACTCTTCAAATGGTCTGAATTTGGTCATGGAATTCAACAGATTTTTTCCAAGGTGAATAGTTAACTCCACTACTGGAACCCTAGCTACGACACTAAAAGTTAATTTATAGAATTCATAGATATCAATAGCAGTCTTAGGTGTTCGACTGACTAACGTTTTACTCACCAAAATGTACCGCAAATGTTAGTTAAAACCGCACGGAAAAGGATTTGTCGACATTGATTTGCATGCTTTTTATTTTTTTAATGACTAAATTCTTAGTTGCCAAACAACTTTCTAGAATTTCTATATATATATATATATATATATATGGGCGGGTGGGGACGGAGGGGGCTTGGCCGTGTGAGATGACCTGGTCACTTTATCAGGGTCTCGTATGGGCATTCCATTCCGCGAAAGGAGCAGAAGTCGCGTATTAGTCTTTTCTCACAAATTCAAAAAGAAAAAAAAAATATATATATATATATAAGAAATTTTTCATCGTCTCAAAGATTGCATTAATAGTTTTTGGTCAAGAAGATTCAAATATGCTAGTACTTGACATGACTAATAAAGAAATAGATGATAAAATTTGTTTATTATCGTGTTTAGTGTTATACTAAACATGCACTAGACATCTTAGACGCTACAATAAGCCTCTATTTGATTTAGAAAATTTGATTGATAAAAATTTAAGTCGAAATCAATAATTAATTTTAACTATATTTTTCATGAGATTTATAATTTTTATCAATTTTTCAATCATATACTTTATCAAATTTTATTAAAATGTATTTAAAATTTGATTTTTAGCGACATCAATCACTGGCTAAGATATATGACTTCTTCTTTTTCCCTTCTTGCATGTCAAATCATTCAACTATTTTTTTATGTATAACTGTGCACGAAATCCATTTTTAAAAAAGGTTGAACCCCAACCTTGAGGGTCCTCCACCGCATGAAATCCATTTTAAATTGAAGTTTTGGAGGAGAATTATATGAACGGTGTAGTGTTGAGAAACCAAATATTTAGATCCGAACGAGACTTTAATTTAGGGAACAATACATAACTCCTAATTTTGAAAATCACATTTCATAAATAACAGACTCATTAAATATTTAAAAAATCAGGTGGTAAATAAATTTATTAAATATTAAAATACAATATGATATACATTAATTATTTCTACCAATGCCACGACATTCTCCTTTCTATCACCCCACTACACCACCTTCCTTCCACCTCTCCACCGAAGACAGCCATCGGTTCCGGCGATCACTCCAGTTCCGGTGATCACTTCGGCTGTCGCTACGGCGACTTAAAAATTTTCAGAAAATTAAATATTGGAAATCACACTCCCACCCCATGGTTCCACCTACCACCTCCCCCATTTGCTGACACGTGTCATATGTGACTAATTGTGACCAAATTTGTATTCAATATGACTAACTATGACCAAATTTGTGCTCAGTGTGCCTGTCTGTTATTAGGTCAATATCAAGTCACAACCGATCACAATCAACACAAAACTGGTCACAATTGGTCACAATCAAACACATATTTGATCGCATATGGTCACCACAAATAACCAAGGGTATCGAATGAAACTGCACCTTTTGTTCCATCAATGCTTCCTACAATCCAAGTCATACCTTCTCCAAATCTAGAATGGAATGGATATCAGGCTGCACACTACTTAAAATCAGAGAGGAGCTTACCTACACCCCCATCATTTTCCATGAACGAGTTACCAACTTATATGAACTTCCTAATTCAACATCAACAGGAGATGGATTAACCNCTAACTGTGACCAAATTTGTATTGAATGTGACTATTTGTGACCAAGATAAATCTCAAGTCACAATCGGCCACAATCAACAAAAAATTGATAAAAAACAACCACGACGACCACCAGTATACTGCAAAACCACCACCACATGAAGATCTAATGCTCGTAGCTGCAACCAGCATATCTTACCACTACATATAACACCAGTCACCACCGCCAAAACACCACCAGTCACCACCATAACACCCCACACTACACCACGCCTAACCTCAACCGAACCCAACCACCACCAAGCACCATTCGCACCCAACCATCACATAAAAAAAAAAAAAAGAGGATTAATGGATCGTACCGTGCGCGGCAAAGATAAACACCCAACCACTGGGAGCCACTAGTTTTTACAACATCCCCCCACCCCCACCAACTCCGACACCATAAAGAGATACACAGGATAAAGGGCAACATTACAGCCCCTCTCTAGCAATTATGTACCGCTACCACTGTAACCACACTAGCATCTCGTACCACCACCACCACCACCTCCACCTCCACCTCCAACCTTATCGCATTTGGAGAAGACGGTATGAAGAAGATTGTTGTTTGAGGAAGACGATGGTTGAGAGAAGATGGTGGTCGGAAGAAGACGACGATTGGATCTATAGAAAGAGAGAAAGTGTTGTTGTATGGAGAGAGAATTTTATTTTATTTTATTTTTTAAGGAAAAGAATTGAAAGAATGGGAAAGAAGAAGACGCATATGGAATGAAGATATTTGCTTGGGTGGGTATAGGTGTGGGGTGGGGTGGTAGAGAGAGAGCATTTAACGAATAGAAATAGGAACAATAATAATTTATTTCGTACCTGATTTTTGAATAAAATTTTTAGTAATCTGATTTTTGATAATGAAATGTTAAATCCATGTTTTCGTGTAATTTTCTCTTTAATTTAGTAGCCTTTGTTAGTTGTGATCGAATTTTTATTTTTATTTTTGAGTGTTTGATTTAGCCTATGTTTGACGCATATTCTTTCAAAACTCTTTTCAACCACCCATTATTCAATAAAATAATATTTTTCATCACATCAATAACTTTTCATTACTTTTTAAATACATATTTCTCATCATATCACTATTTTAAATACATTATTTCCTCAATAATATCCATCAAAACACACCCTTACCATGTTTAGACACCTAAGTTAATAATATTTCTATCCTTTTATTCAATCTCTGATGTTATGTATTTATTTTCAATCATACATTCTCTCAATAAAATAAATTTGCACGTTCATCCATAATTTTTTCTTAATTTTTAATCGCACTTTTTTAAAAATATATATATTTTTCACAAAATTTATTCCAAAAAATTTACATCAAACAAGCCCTATTATATAGCTTTTAGAATTTCACGAAGATACCAAGAAATTTGTAAAATAAATGTTCGTGGAGATTTATAAGAAATAAAAATAACGCACGAAAAAAATAATTTAAAAAATAGGTCAATTGAAGATAAGATGTGTATTTAGGAATTCCAAAATAATAATGATTTGTAAATACAACAACTATCATGTAACAAATTATTTGTAATATAAAATACTACATGACAAATATCGAAAAACCAAATATCTACATCCAAACGAGACCTTAATTTAATTAATTATTTTACGGTAATGAATCTCTTCTTGTGAGCAAAGCAATCTTAGTTCGTGGAAGCTGCGAGTTGGCGACATGACACAAAACATAAGACCCGCTAACACTGAATATATATTTTATTGATTTATTTTAATAAAATATATGTTGGTTTCTTCTTAAGATAGAATTAAGCATTAGCAGTTCAAACATCTTAAATCTTGACTAATTAATAAGTACAATTTATTTAATAAAATCCGAAAATGAAAATATATCGAAAAATATTATTATGAATATTTTTTAATATCATTAACGAACGTCGATATAAAAATAAAGTAAAATCAAGTACCTTCAAATCTACATATTGTCGCATTAATAATCTTTTGCCCTTGAGAAAACATATAATTGTTTACTTTTTAGTAAAGTAAAAACAAAAAAACAAACAAACAGGCAATAGAACTCGTCTGCGAACAATGCTACAGGAGCATGCTCAAATCCAGGCTTAAATTTAGGGAGGACAAGTGTCGGCCTTGGATTGGACAGTTTAAAAAATATATAAACACAACACCCAATCATTTTCCTACATATCACGATGTCTCCTTGTTTCCTATTTTTGGATCTGGATGAGCAAGCGTAACTAAGATAATGCACCATAAATGAATCTGTTTAAGTCAATGATGTTGGATATTAGTGACAAACTGAGAATTTTGACAGCCCATCTCTGATGCTTCTTGGAAATTCTCTATATTATTTAATTAATTGTAAATTTTATTCTGGTTATTTTAAAAGAAATACATTTTTTAAATTCCTTTTTCGTTTTAAATGATCCTGCATATTACCTGTACTTTTGCGTCTTAATCATTTATAAAAATTGTACACGTATCGGATTTTTATAAGAAAAAAAATATTTAAACCTAACGCAACTTGGCATATTAAAGACAATTTAAATTGCCCAACAACTTTAATATTTAGATAAATTGTGCTTACTAATCATCGTGACATTAATTAATCCATGATGAATAATATTATTTAAATTTTTTTTTCCATATTTTAAGTCTCCTAACATAAATTATATTGAGTTGACCTTCAATGTTGCCTTTTTATTTTTATTTTTTCCCCCAAGTCCATTTTATATATCAGATGTCAACTATGTGTGTCGTTGCATTGCAATGCAGGCCCGATTTGTTTATTTTCCATTGCAATGCAGGCCCGAGTTTTATCTTTGATTATAGACCAAAAAACAAAGCCCGTTAAAACAGAATGAAGCCCATTGAATTGGCAAGGTTTGCATTAACTATGCAGCTAGAAACTAGAAAGCGAGGAATTGAACCAATTTTATTAAGAGAAAATTACCTAAATCAAGGGATTTAAGATTTAATTATCAAAAATCAGGTGATTAAGAAATTTTTACAAAAATCAGATGTTAAATCCGACGCCCCAATTCATTTCATCACTTTCTCTCTCTACATCTCCCTCTATTGCCCAGCCACCCTAGCGCTACCATCCATCACCTCCAATTCCGCCTCACACCGCCTGCATCCACCGTCCTGGTCACATGACGAGACGGTGGCTCTAATTGACGCTTACTGGGACAAATGGTATTCTCTTCGCCGAGGAGACCTTCGAGCCTCCCATTGGCAGGAGGTTGCTGATGAGATAGCCCACCGGTGCTCGTGTAGCATCCCAAAGACCGCCGTCCAGTGCCCCCACAAGATGGAGAAGCTCCTCAAGCATTACCGTTCAGAGATCGAGCTTGCCGCTCCATATGGTGGCCCCCGTCGGATCTCCTCATCCTGGGTCCACTTCCATGGAGAAGGGCCCCAACCGCTCCCTGTTATCTTCTGATGACGAACCGCAAGGAGAAGAGGATCACAAGAATAGCATCACATGCATTAACAATGCACTCAACAATAATTACAGTCATCAGAAAGGTAATTTTAGTAATCAAGGGCTTATGGATAATGGGTAATTTTAGTAATCAAGGGCTTATGGGTGTGTTCAGGTGGGTTGACGTTGCTCTTCGTAGTGGTGTATAGAGTGGTAGGTTATGGTGAGGTGGTGCTAGTGGTGTGATGTGTATTGTGTGTAGTGGTAGGTTGTGGATCTGTCAAGGATGGTGGTAGTGGTGGTACAGGTGATGGTTGTAGCAATCTGAGCTCTGATGAGGTGGCGCTGTTGCTTTCAGGGCCAATTGAGGTGGCACTAGGCTAGTTAGCCATCTGGGCTTCACTTGAAGGTAGAACTGTGGCGGTGGGGGTTGTGTTTGTGTTTGACTGGTTGTGTGTTTAAGTTTGAGTTTGATTTATAAGTGGAATGGTGAGGGTGTTAGTAGTGGAGAAGGGGCTGGCGGCTTGCCCAATTGTTTGAGTTTCAATAATAGTTAGAGTTGTGGGGATTGTGTTGGTCGTAAGGTTAGTTGCCTTCTCAATCGTTTGATTGTGATAGATTNGTTAGTTGCCTTCTCAGTCATTTGATTGTGACCAATTTTGTGTTGATTGTGACTGCTTGTGACTTAAGATTGACTTGGTCACAGACAGTCACATTCAACACAAATTTGGTCACAGTTAGTCACATTGAATACACACTTGGTCACAATTAGTCACATACAGTCACACTGAATACAAAATTTTTTTTTCAGTAATTTTTTAGGAGGTGAAGGCAGGGATGGGGTGGTGATAGGTGGATCCATGGGGGTGGGAGTGTGATTTTCAATTTTAAATTTTTTGGAAATCTTTGAGTCACCGGAGCGGCCGCCGGAACAGTTACCGGAGTGATCGTCAGAGCAGTCGTCGGAGAAGCCGTAGGAGCTCATGGCCGTCTCCGGTGAAGAGGCGGAGGGAAAGTGGCGTAGTAGGGTGATAGGATGTGGTAGGTGATGTGGCATGAATAGAAATAATTAATGTATATTATATTATATTTTAATATTTAATAAATTTATTTACCACCTGATTTTTGAAATATTTTAATGAGTTTGTTATTTATGAAATGTAGTCTTTAAAATTAGGAGTTATGTATTGTTCCCTTTTATTAACCCCAAACTAACGGCCGTTTGGCAGCATCTGAAATTAATAAACTGCCTTTCAACATATTTTGATTATTATCTGAAAATTCTATTAAGCTAAAAGAGTTTTTAAATGAAGTTCTCGTATTGTAGTTTGATCAAGAAACCTTAGTGCACTCGGCCTAGAAGTTCAAATTAAGTACATAACCTTTTGTTCCTACTAGAGGTCAACTTTATAGGTATCAAAAACTTGTTCATTAACGTAGAACGCCAAAGATATGGATAAATATATGAGAGTTAAAAGAGTATTTTCAGCATAGTATAATAACCTTAGTTATACGATGCAACCAAGTTCTAGAGCGATTGACTGGAAAATGTAAAACCTATTGCGACAATAATCTTAGTGCAAGAAGAAAATCTAAAAATTACTAGAATCGTGCTACAAGTACAGAATTTTTTTAACAAAAAATCCTTACAGACAACATATGGCAAGACATCATTAGAAGATGGGAAAAAGGAAAAAGAAAATAGTCCAATCACATTTTGCCATATCAACATCTTTATACGTCATATAAATTTGTACTCTTGGCTTTATTGAAATTACTATAGCAAAAAAAAAAAAAAAAAAAAATTACAACTTCAAAAAGTGTAAAATACTATAAGAAAATTGAATTAGGAAACTTACTAAAATTGATCCCTAATTTTATGCGTGGGTTGCATCATTTTAAGTTCTAACCCATCAAGAGCAACTTTGCCCTCAATTTTTTTAAACCCGGTTGAATTATTTGCAAAATTCGTTGGTTCGCCTCAATGTAAGACTGCATCCTTATTTGTCCTTGCAGTAATTCAATATGATTAAAAGAAGTTTATAATAAAATCAATCACACAACCTATTTTCTCTAACCGCCTTTTTTTTTTTTATGATAGGAAGAAGGTCGATCCCCATACGATCTATGTATATCGACAATAATTAGACTTTACAACTTAACATTAACTTCCACAATTTGAGGGAATGGTGAGTCTTTCCCAGCCATCATGTTTAGCTCGGGTCACCCAAGGATGATGTTACCCACATCAATGAGAAACAAATCACGCCAAACATCATCCCAATATACAGAACCTATGCCATAGATTAATTCAAAATAAATTTGTACAAAAATCTAATTTTTTTTTTCCTATTTTCTAAAAAAATAACTTTCCACGAAATCTATTATAAAAAAAATGAAACTCAAACAACGGCAAATTCAATTAAGTACCGGTCATATTCAAGCATTGACTAGAAGTTACATCAAGATTTAAGTATACAACTAAGCATCAACTTCCAACGAACATCGCTAGCGATATCTTCTCACCAACCTTCTTCTTCACCACAAAATTATTAAATGGAAAATGCAACTATTTTAAATATAAATATTCAAAAGTTTATAAACTAGTTAATGAAATAATTATTCGTTATTTTTCCATTTTATATTTCACATAAATAAATTTTCCAGTGAAAATCAAACGACGTGAACATTGCCTAATCAAAAGGATCTTTTACGAGATTGAAGAATTGACATAATTATTTATCTGTATGCACGACAATGAAGTATCGTAAGTAAAATAGTCCAAAACTTTTTCTATTATGGTCGAACGAACAATTCTAAACTTAAACTAGAAAACTTAGGGCGTAAAGTAATTTTCTAAACACCCAATTTGCATGATTAACGGGTGATGATAACAATATTTTGTCTCGATATATATAATTTAAGTAGTTATTCTTAAATCCAAAAAGGCAATTGCTTTCTTCTATGGGGTCTGGTCCGGCATGTCCAGCTATCACTCTTTTTCAATTGAGATCTGAAACAAATGGCAGTCCACTATGTGGGACCCAACCATCCATTTTCCACGTGTCATGTGGGCCATGACAACAACCATATGTTTGTTTGATTTGAAAATAAGGCTAGGTTTGAAAACACAAATTTTTCATGGAGAATGAAATTCGATTTTCCAACTTTTGTCTTGTTTGATACCATAAATTTGTCTTGGAAAATATTTTCTCAAAAAGCTTCACACATGCACTATTTCTTGGATTTTGAGGAATTGGATTCCCCAAATTCTAGCTTTTCGATTTTTTTTTAATTTTTAATTTTTTTTTATTTTCAACCACACATTTTTCATAAAATACTTTCACATGTAAATCGAATATTTTTTAATCGCACATTCTCCAAAAAATTATTATTTCAAAATGCATTTTCTTACCAAAATGGAATCGAACAAGGGCATAAATGGATGCTAATTAACTGTATCGAGGATTAATTAATTCCTAAGTGCATGCATATATCTCCCGTTTGACCTCATTGAAATTATATATTTTTTTCTTTTTTTATCAACCACACATTATCCAATAAAATAATATTACACATAAGATCAAAATTTTTTATTCTTTTTCAATCACGCATTTTTTTTTAAAAAAAAACTATTTAAAAATTATAATTTCAAATAATGAGGCCAAACGGGGACTAAATTATAAACTGTTCTAGAAATGACACTTTAGCCGGTAAAAAAGAGAAACATGCCAAGATTTTTCGACTTTATGTCGATTTCACCTCTTTTCGTTTCTTAAAATGCTCGAAAATCTAATCGAGCATGAATGATGCAGAAATTGCAGACGTAATTTTTTTCCTCTACATTTTGGTGGAGAAATAATTTTTTCTTTTTTTGAAAATAAGAAAAAAATGAAATAGAAAGGAATGTGCTAATCCAAATAAAGATCTATCCGTAATGACGCCACAGAAACAGACCGTCGAACGCACTCAGCGCTCCACGCCACAGACCGCAGTCCAACCCCAACCCCACCTGCCCCACCCCTTCTCCCTGTCACCCACCCATTGTGAACAGTTCTATTACTCTGTCACACATTCTCACAATTTACACACTCAAGCTTCTATCCTTCATTCTCTCCTGTACTCTGAATCCTAACAATCACTTCAGATCTGTACATATTTCATATGTTTGATTCTACCGTTGCAGCTCTGCATTTTTAGTCTAGTAGTACTAAGAATGGCGAACTCCGACCCGAGCAAGCGGTCGACCCGACCCGGACAATGGACACCCGCACCCGAGTCGGCCGCGATGCCACCGTCTACCTGGGCCAAGCGCACCGGATTCCGCCCCAAATTCTCGGGAGAGACCAATGCTAGTAACTCTGGTCAAATTATATCCCAACCCAAGTCCAGGGAAGTTGACACGACTCCTGACCTTGAAGCGGGCCGCCCAAGGCTCGGTCCGTCATCCAATGGGGAGCCCGCCAGTGTGAAGCCTCCTGCAAATAAGGAGAGGGAGAAGGAGCAGAAGCAGCCAGTGAAGAAGCGGAGGGACTCAAATGCAGACAAGAAACCCAGAGAGAATGTGCAGTCGGCAATGGCCGCTGTAGCGGAGGAGGGGAGCCAGAGGCCGGTGAGGAACCAGGAGGGGGATGCCGTGGATGTCCTGCAACGGACGGTGGTGGATGATGATGGGTTCGTTTCGAGGCATACAAATATGAAGTATGAGCTTAGAGATACTCCTGGTGTAGGTGAGCTTTATATATTGATTATGTTAAATATTAGAAAGGGTGAAATTTTATTATTATTATTTTTTTCTGGTGGTTATGAACTAATCACGAAGTGCTAATTTTGCAGCTGACATATTTTTACAATGAAAAGGTCTCATTTTTAGTGTTTGGTTTGTATAGTTCTGTTGATCTTGAAAA